ATATTGGGAGTACAAATTAGTTCGGTCCGTTCAAAAATGCATTTATATTTCAAAACAAAATGAATGAACAGATCAATTAAAGTATTGTCCATCGCTGCCTACTACTTTTTCCCATCTCTCAGGCAATTTTCGAATTCTGTCTCGAAAAAATGACTCGTCTTTGGAGGCGATCCAATTTTGGAGTCAATTTTCTGCGAAAGAAGTGAACCGGTGACTTGCTGCATCCTTCGGAACAACCAGTAATCAGAAGGAGCAATGACCGGAGAATACGGCGAGTGCGGTAAAACATCCCATTTGAGCGTTTCCAAATATTTTTTTACGACTTTACCGAGTGTTGTCATGAAGAAGAATAACTTTATCATGTTTTTGCTCGTATGGCCGTTTTTCTCGCAATGCACGGCTCAAACGAATCAATTGTAGCCGATACCGATCGCCCGTAATGGAATCGCTAGGTTTCAGCAGCTCATAGTAAACAAGACCCTTTTGGTCCCATCAGATACAGAGCATGATCTTTGAACCATGAATGTTCGGCCGTGGTGTTGATGTTGAGATCGATGGCAACGATTGACCGGGCTTAGCGTAGTATTTTTTCTTCTTGGGATTGTCGTAGAATCCACTTCTCATCTCCAGTCACAATCCGATGCAAAAAATCTTTTCTCTGTTGTCTTTGAATCAGCTGTTCGCAAGTGAAAAATCGCCTTTCAACGTCTCTCGGTTTTAGTTTATAAGGCACCCAATTTCCTTGTTTTTGAATCATTCCCATGGCTCTCAATCATACAGAAACGGCTTGTTGAGTTACCCCCAATGATTCTGCAAGCTCCTCTTTTTGACTCTGATCTTCGAGTAATACCTAATTCTTTGTCTTCGAATTTTTTTGGCTGCCCAGAGCGAGGCTTGTCTTCAACGCTGAAATCTCCATCCTTGAAACGTCAAAATCATTCCCTATATGATTTATCAGTTGGAGCAGTGTCTCCATAAACTTCGACAAGCATTCGATGGGCTTCAGTCGCACTTTTCTTCCAATTAAAGCAGAAAATCAAAACCTCCCGCAAATGCTACTTGATTAACATAAGATTTGATATTTCAAACACAGTAAAAATCAAGATTTTTGTATGAAACTCAAAGCGATATAAACTGAATATTATTAGCAGATGTTTAACTTTTCTGAAACCGTTAAAATCAGCTATCACTATGAATCATTCACAACAGCTGGAATCATCTTTAGCGAAATGGATCGAACTAATTTGTACTCCCAATATATATATATATATAT